CACCTTTTAAGTTGCCTTACTGACATAAATGAACATTTGCACGATATTCTAATTTTTCGAGTTTCACCTGTATATTCCATTAACTGTGTTGAAATGCTAGATCGTCATTGTGAGTAACAGTGATAAAGGCCAAGAAAGACAGACTTTTGGCACTTAACAGCTCATGGTCCTCCAAACCTTATGAGCTAAAACAAGCATTTTAGTTTTGCAAACATGAAAGAAAGTCACTTTTGTTTTTTTCTCCTCCTTTTCTTTCTTTCTTTCCTTTTTTTCTTGGATTTGTCTTTTATTCTATGCAAAATTGTTAATAAATATAATTTTTTAAAAATCTAATAGGCTTAATCTTATGGAACAGGGCAGCACTACCAACACGTCAAACACTGTCAGGGTGCTGGATCTAGCCGTTAGTGAAATTTAGCATTGTAATCACTTCAGATTATTTTGGAAAAGTCAAACAGCCAGATTCAGCTGCCCAACTGGAGTGCTAAACCAGAATTATTTTTTTAAAAAATAATAATAGGGTTCAGGGCAGTTATAAACCATGTATCTTGGGAACTGCCCAGGGATGCCAGATATTATAATTCATCCTGAGAAAATTAAAAGGTAAGGCCCATGTATATTCCAAAGAGATGGGAACTTACTCCTAATGCATTAATGATTTTACTGTTTAAGGACAAGTTATATATATATAATTAACAGAGCTCTCATGAAGGTGTCTACAGTAAATATCTGTGATAAAAACAGTCTTACAATATAATTTTACATCTGTCTAATCCAAAGTAAACAGACATATTCAAGATAAACAGTCCAGCTCTTACTTCATCTATAAAAACATGGGTGAACTCCAAAAGACTTTTGGCTCCAACTACTTTCTGAAGAAGGACACCAGTTGTCATATAAATCAGCTTCGTGTCCTTTGTTGCAACTTTTTCTAAACCAACCTGGAATGTTGGAAAGAGACATCGCTTGTTGTATTTACTTATAAATCACTGTGAAAACTGTAAGCATTTGTGATAAGCTCACTATTACATCCTAAAGTATTGAAGTATTAAATAGGAATCCTACATTTACTCAAATGAACAGCACAAGTTGCGGCATGTACTGCAATCTCACTTGCTGGAATAATCCCATGGTCCTTAAGCCATTACACACCCACACACACACAACTGAGAATAAATAAAAGCATACAAAAACTTATCATGTGATACAATTTTCTAAAGATTTTTAAAATTACCCCAGAACATTAATGTTGCATTGCCACTCGTTTGCAGTTGATATTATCCATGTTTAAGTTGCTACCACTATGGGTCTGTAAGTTTGTACCTGGATTCCAATTATTTGTACATGATTTGTGCTCACGTACTGAAGTTTCATAAAGTGCAAGACATTTTGGTGCTTGAGGTAGAAAATGCAAATGGAATCCTGCCCCACCATCAATTTCTCAAAGGAAGCCGTATCACTTTGCTTAACACTAGAGACTACCCTATTTTGAAGCCAATAATTCTTCAGTGACAACAAGGGACCACTTTTTGTTCAAAGTATGGAAGTTCATGAAATACAAATGTGTTCCTCCTAAAAAAGGCCTGGCAGAGACAATGCAGTGTTCCTTACAAAATCTGAAGCAAATGGCTGCCTTCTTCTCTAGCTTCAGAGGCTGTATTTTTGATAACCTGCAATCAGTGGCTCTGTATTTCAACCAAAACACCACATTAAAATACTGGATGCCTATAATCAGTAAGCAAGATAATAATGTGTGTTAAGTCCACTGCAAAGAAATAAAGTACCAAATGCTGTAAGTTTCAAAAGGAACTATCACTTGCACAATGAACCTGTGTGAGAGCAAGACCAAATGTGACAAGATGGCTGAATCAACATACTTTGAATCATTTCCATAGCTGGCCTCTTGCTTTACCAGAAAAAAAGCATAAAACTAAGCTCTTCGACTAAAGGGAGGATATGATAAATAAAATCAATAAAAAGTCACACATCTAGGTAGCTGTTTACCTCCATCAGTTTCTTTTCTGTCTAGCTATCTTACTGGAAGTGAACTGGGCTGAGAAACAGTGCTTAGAACACAGATGGAAACCTTCAGACAATGTTGGACTACAGTTCATGTCATTTCTGATCATTAGCCACGCTGACTGTGCTGATGGATACTGGAATGCAACCTCTGGAGGCCACCCTGACTTAAAGCAATATACTAGAAAAATATGGTAGCAGATCTTTTGCTTGGTTCTCCTGCACACTCCTTTATATGTTCAGAATAGAGTCCTTATTCCTACTATCCTCCCTTTTATACATGAACAGATTGGATACACACAGAAATAGGGAGACACGCATGCACGTATAGTCACCTCTATTCTTTAGATAAAAGGAAGATTTCCCAGAACATCTTACGAAAATTTAAAACAAAATTGAGGATTTAAATACAGTTAAAGCAATCTGAACTCAAAAACAGTAGTAATTATGTGTAATGCACTGATAAAACACTGGAACAGAAGCATTTTAAATGTTTGATTAAAAACAAATTCAGAAAAAGCTATACAAACATCTTTACAAAAAAAATCAGAAATCCGAGCTTAGTCACCAAACTGATGGATTTTAATGGTGGACTACAGAAAATCTCTTTGAGCCAAGGTAAGGACATACTAGTGGAAGGAATCCAAGGAGACTTCAATCATAGGCTTGCACCCAAAATACTAAGGGGATGGGTCCAAGGATAATACTTATAGACTGAATTCCTCATCTCTCCTTTAGTCTCAAGATCTGGTCCCAAGGGTTGATAATTGTATAAACAGGCTATTGGTAGAAAGATGGGAAAGTAGAGTCCAGTTCCACTTATGCAATATTATATTTTGACCATTCTCTTTTCTACAAAGCTAGATTTCTAATTTTAGTACACCCAAAAGCTATGTAAAAATTAAATGAACTGCCTCTTAAAGCACAGGGAATGAATTTTTAAAAAGGAGGGGAAGGAAAATATGGATGTGATTTCTATTTCAGTGACATTCACGTGATGCTAAGTAATGCACTGCTTTACCTGGTAGCCCACGAGTTCACCCAAAGGCCATGACCTCTGTTTGCTTATCCACCTTGCAATGCTGCTAGCACCAATTTTCCTAGGCTGTGTAACCACAATGTTACAATAAACAGAATGCTGTGCACAGTGATCCAAAATATACTGTGGAAGTTGTGTGCTTTTGCCACTACCAGTAGATCCATGTACAATTACCACTGAGTTGTTTTCTATCAATGAAATTATCTGAAATTAAAAAAGAAAACAATTGTATTAAAAGGATGAGAGACCCAAATTTTAAAATATTTTCCAGTTCTGTCTTCTTTGTTATACCTTACCACCTTCTTTCACTCTTAACAATTCTAAAATTCTCTTTTCTATATTCGTAGTAGAAATTCCTTGTTGGTGCACCTTTACAGATTCCACACTGCTGTGTGTCACTTTTTAGCCCTTATTTCACTGTCCATAATTCTTATTCCTCCACTTGCAACATCTTTCGTTGCCCCCAATTATTATTTTAAATGACCATTCCTCTTTGCTGATCCAGCTGCTAGGAATTCTCCTCTAGAACATCTACATCAAGAGCAAATCTCCAGGTATTGTTAAATTCCAATTCCATGTTAAAAAAACAACTTCTTTTTAAGCCATATTCCGTAAAATCTATTGGTTATATGTGAATTTCCTTTTGTTTTCTAATCTTTTTTAACCAATACTACTTTAGTTCTCA